CCGCCCGCCGGCCTCCGCCTCCTCCGGGCCGCCCCCGCCCCTCCGGCCGGCCTCGCCCGGGCCTGCGCCCTGCTCGCTGCGGCCCAGGGAGCGGGTCGCAAGTGACAGCGCCGCGCTCGGCCGGGCGGGCGCGCGGCCAAGGGAGCGTCGGGAAGTTCCCCGCCCCTGGTGGAGCGTAAGCGAGGCGATGCCCGAGTCGTCCTTGGCCGGGGAGGGTCTGTGATCACGCCTCCCTCCGCCGGGCGATCGAGCCCACCCTGTCCGAGCGGGGACCCTCGTCTCGCCTCCGGACGACTTCTCCTCGCTCCTGGCACCCCTTCTTTCACCCACGCAGCCAAATTTTGTTGTGTTCCGCGTGGCGCCGGACGTAGCCGCCTCACCTCCCTGCCTCCCGCCACAGGATTCGCGAATTCGTGTTTTCTGGCAACTTGGGGGAAGCAGAAAGGATCCCTGAGAAGTAGGGGGGTGTCACGCACTCCCCTCGACCTGCTAGGCTCTGGCGATCTTTCCGCTTCAGCCTTCCAAGTAGCTGGGATTACAAGCATGCGCCACCAAGCCGCGCTAATTTTTTTTTTTTTTTTTTTGAGTTGGAGTCTCACTCTGTTGCCCAGGCTGGAGGGCAGGGGCACGTTCACGGCCACCGCAGCTTCGACCTGTTGGGCTCAGGCAGTCCTTCTGCCTCAGCCTTCCAAGTAGCTGGAAACTACAGGCGCACGCTACTACACCCGGCTAATTTCTATTCTTACTGTCGAGACAAGGTCTCGCTAAGTTGCCCGGGCAGGTCTCGAACCCACGGGCTCAGACAATCCACTCACCTTGGCTTCCCAGAGTGCTGGGATGACAGGTTGAGCCACCTAGCCCGGCCTCCTCGCCTTTGAATAACAGCGTTCAACTCTCCTTTGGGAAAACTGTCCCTTCCCAATTGGCCACACTCTGGAGGGATTTTTTGTTTGTTTTTGGTCTTTTTTGAGTCAGAATGTCACTGTCGCCCTGACTGGAGGTCAGTAGCATGCTCACGGCCACCGCAGCCTCAACTTGCTGGGCTCAGACGATCCTTCCGCCTCAGCCTTACTAGTAGCTGGAAATACAGGCGCACACCACCAAGCCCGGCTAATTTTTTGATTTGTTGTAGAGACGGTCTCACCAAGTTGCCCAGGCGGGTCTCGAACCCAAGGGCTCAGGCAATCTGCTCGCCTCGGCCTCCCAAAGTGCTGGGATGACAGACCGAGCCATTGAGCTCGACCTGGAGGAATTATTGAACACAAGCCCTCACCAAGAGGTGGCCGTGGGCCTCAGGCTGGCCCTGGCATGCCTCACCTGGCATTTGAGGAAGACCCAAGCTGTCGGGAGGCAGCAAGGTGTTCTATGGGTGCGAATCCCAGCTTCTAGCCGGGCTTGGTGGCTCAGCCTGTAATCCCATGCCTTGGGAGGCTGAGGTGAGTGGATTGCCTGAGCCCGCAGGTTCGAGACCCGCCTGGGCAGCGAGACCTCATCTCTACAATAAATTAAAAAATCAGCCAGGCGTGGTAGCGCATGCCTGTAATTCCGGCTACTGGGAAGGCTGAGGCGGAAGGATCGCCAGAGCCCAGCAGGTCGAGGCTGCGGTGGCCGGAAGCGGCCACTGCACTCCAGTCTGGGCGACAGAGTGAGACTCCAACTCAAAACAAAAACAACAACAACAAAAAAAAACAAGAATCCCAGCTCCCCACTTCCAGTCGGGTGGCTCCGTTTTCACATACAGGGGCTACCCAGAGTCTGCCTCGTGGGTCTGACCTTAAACACGGCAGTAAGTGGACGATGCTGAGAACAGAACCGGGAGAGCAGGTGGCTGCTAGGCCCGTGGGCCGTGAAAACGTCCATCAGTCTTGCTGCTTGGATGGCAGCCCTGGGTGGCCCAATTTCCATCCTTCCCCGCCCAGCCCAGTCTGGAGTGCCCCACATGGAGGGCCTTGGCTCCTCCCACTTGATGTGTCCTCCCTCCTCTCTTACCCCCAAGTCCATGCCCTCCTCCTGCCCATTGCCCAAGAGCCTTTGCCCTTATGCCTCCATTGTGATTCCCTCTGCTGAATCTGTACTGCCCGGTGCAGCTGTGCAGGTTGTGCACTGAATGTGGGTCCCTGACTGTGACAGCCAGCTGGGAGCTGAACTTCAACCCATGGTCCATGTAGCAAGCGATGAGCCCTGACCTGGAGCTGTGTCCCTTTTCCTTTTTGTTTGTTTGTTGTTGTTGTTGAGTTGGAGTCTCACTCTGTCGCCCAGACTGGAGTGCAGTGGCTGCTCCTGGCCACCGCAGCCTC